GGGCCGGACTTTGGACATGCCTGCTCTAGAGGCACCTCACACGCCTTACCATACCACCCTGCCTCTCCACTCAGGCGCTGAAAATCCTCCCCACCAACCAAGCAGGATTTTCAGCCCAATTGTAGCGATTTGCACACGTCTTGGGCTGGGCCTTCCCCACCCAGAAGCACCCACATTCCTTACCTTAAACATGCTGCTTCTCCACTCAGGGACTAAAAATCTTGCTGATTCCAGCTCACTTTTGTCTCTGAGGGCTGGCTGAAAGAGCACCCTGTAGGATTTCAGCTCTGTGGCTGCCTGGATTTGGCATGGAGGTTTTCAACCAGTCCCCAGAGAGTCCTCTTGGCAGGTGGCAGCAGTTTGCATTGACTTTCTGGGGAAACCAGAGAAGTTTGCAAACGGCAATCACATGATCACAATGTGCTTGGCAACCAATCAGAAATGCCAACAGGTTGCCAGGCACCCAGATCGTGATCAGGGAGGGGATGTAGTGCAACATTTTGCGATGGTCAGAAGTGCTTTACGGGCTGTAAAGTTCCTTTTCTGAGGCCATCATTAATCTGAGCCAACATTAAGCGGGCAGTCTTAAGTACTACTGTAACTATATAATCCCTAAAGTTTTGTTTTGTTTTTTAGGCAGGGATGCTTGCACCAGGAACAAGGCGAGACATCTATGACCAAAAGCTCACATTACAGCCCATTGATAACACTACAATATCACTACAAATGGGCACCAACAAAGTGGCTTCGCAGAAGGGGATGAGCGTATATGGGCTTGGACGTCAGGTGTATGATCCTAAGTATTGTGCTGCACCAACAGAACCTGTCATTCATAATGGGAGCCAAGGAACAGGAACTAATGGATCAGAAATCAGTGATAGTGATTATCAGGCAGAATATCCAGATGACTATCACGGCGAATACCAAGATGAATATCAGAGAGATTACCACGGTCAATACAGTGACCATGGCATTGATTACTAGATTGGCCTCAAAAGCTCAGTATTAGTTTATTATTTTATTCAGGAAAAACGAAACTAGCCTTGTGGAATTGTTACCCATCCTTTTACACATTATGCTTCATATACTTAAGGAAATATTGCCTTAACATAACATTCCTTTTTTTCCCTTTCTTTGCCCTTTTCTTCTCTAGTTGCCTTTAGTGCTGTAACATTTGCCGTCTACAGCATAACCAATAACAGCATTTATGAAGTAAAAAGGAATACTGTGAAAGGGAACTTCTTGTATACAGCCAAGTCTTTTAATAATAAGGAACTATGCATTTTTTTTACACTCTTGTTCTGAAATAGGCATTTTACGTACTATACCAAGCTCTTCCTTTTAAACTTTTTTTATTTACAGCTCCATTCTGTGGAAGACTGTAGATGCTTTTATTCACAAAGTTAATTCTGGACCATGCCATCAAAATAAAGGTTACAGTTAATAGTTTAAAATGTTGGTTATTTTATAAGTACTTGCTTGCTTATCTCCTGAAGTCATAGTAGAAATAATAAATGTGCATTTGTAATTGTGTATGTTTCATCACAATGTCTAAATTCACCAAAATTATAGGAAAAGCTTTCTTTCTTAGAAGGGAACTAGTATTAAGTTCTGAGCCCACAAAAATCTTTACATTTTGAAGGTCATTGACTTTATTTTCTGTGCCATAATATATCCATGTAGAATTGCCTTTCCTTTGAATTGTATTTATTGCCACATTTCTCATCATCAACTGATCTTGTTGTATTTTTTATAAATAAATGTTGTTTTCTTCAAGACGTAGAAGAACCTGTATTATTAAAAAAAATTGATACACAGAATTATCAAGGAGTCAGATGCAGCCACGCAACTTCAAAACCAAATTAAATAAAATTATAACATACAAAACAGTAGAAGGCAACTGCCCATAGTAACGGTGTTCAACGTGAAAACTAAAAAAGTAAAAATTCTACATTATGTTAATACAACAGCAAAATAGGATTTTATTTAACACTGCTGCTGATTAAGAGGTCAGTTTGCCTATTACAAAATACTATTATTTTCTACTAATGTTGGATGTAGAGGCCACACAATCAAACTTTGTATTTCCATTTTCTATTGCTGCCAAAGGATTTTTCCAACCTAACAGCCATACTTTAGATTCAATTGCAGGTTTAATAGAAGACACATTTATTGGATTCTATTGGTGGTTTTTTTTAGCTTGCTTTATTATATTGAAAATCTGAAACTAATATCCCAGAATTTCTACACGAAGTACTAAAGGGCTACAAATACCTACAAAACTTTAATTCAAGGGCAATTTTGATCCCCTGGCATTCCAAATAAAGCAGGGTCTTCCAATTTAATCCCCAGGTATGTTGTGTATACACAAGTATATTTTCTCCATATCAAATCTGATTTGACTCACACAGATCTATAAACCCAACTTTCTTACAGAAATTCAAGAAAAGTTCAAGAAAATTCTATCAATTCTCTTCAGACTTTATTACAAGTGTAGTATTTACTTTATCAGATTGCCCAAGGGGGAAAATTGTCAATCTGTTGGGAGGAGAGGATTGTGGACTTATGAAAACATACTACCGGGTGTGTATATCAGAAATTACTCATTTATTAAAAGCCAACATACTGCTTTCTTGTTCAGTTTATCACTCTCGTTGTCAGGCACACTTCCAAATATAGTAAAACCTCAGTATAATGGACCAGTCACAGGAAGGATATGTAAGTTAACTCTCTGTGCGTATTAAACATAACTTTATGTCATTTGCTTCAATTTATGTCATTGTCATTAAGTATGTGGTTGAGGTAAATAGTATCATTTGTACTAAAACTTTTATGTAACAGGCAATGCTTTCATAATATCTGAAATCTGCTAACCCAAGGTCTAAACCAAGGATTTATTTCAGAGAACTTCAGTCATCCATTCTTTATTTCGTGTAAATAACTTTGGGGTCACCAAGAGTCCCATGGGCATTTCTGTAAAAAAAATATCCTTGGTATCATATCAGGTTTCCATTTAATTTATTTATTAAAACAATTACAATACATAGGCAACCCTACCATAGGCATTTCTACAGTGTGAAAATAGAAAATACTTGTAGCTCGAGTTTTAGATTTTGGCAGTGGTTTGCTCTCCGAGGTTGTCATTTAACTCCTGAACATTTCATTACCAAGCTAGGTAACATGACTAGCAGGACTACCAAAGTCCCATTGGTGATGTTACCTAGCCTGGTAACGAAACGTTTGGGAGCTAAATGGCAAGCTTGAAGAGCAAACCACTGCCAAAATTCCTAGTGTCAATGTATTCCCAACATACATTTGTACACTATTTTTGCAATTCAGCAGTTTCTGGTGTTTCTGCAGTGTCTTTGTTTTTATTAATTTTTTAATGCAATTCAACAGTGTTTATTCAACAAAAAACATGTTGTCTGAGCTCATCATTCACTAAAGCAAATTAAATTCCTAATCCCTAGTTCATTTCTCCAACCATTGGTAAAATAAGTCCCAAGTTTGAAAATATTCTGTTTCTTCTTTTTCTTTCAATCTCAAAATTAAGTCTGTCCATTTCTGTACAATCTAGTATTTGAACTTTGAACGCATTCCTCTTCAACGGATAGAGAGTTAAGGAATGATTGCACAATCATTTTGATTCTACTTGCTGCTTAACAAGTTTTGACAAGGGCATTTTTTCCCAAATCAAACTTTTTAATCCAAGTAATTGTAAATACTGTACATATGTGAGGTGGGCAACTCAAGGGGTATTCCCAACCACATATCCCACCATTTTTGATGTTGCCTGACCCGTCGAAGAACATTGCCACTGACACTCAGCATCAAATACATTTTTGTACTACTTATTTTGTTTCTTATTTTTTAAGCTTGTATGTAGATAAAGGGTTGAAAATTCCATACTCTCCAAAGATATCCCAAGTGTCCCAAGACACTTCTTATGATCCTTAGAAACATAAGAAAAGCTGTCTACTCTTGATCCATATAGAGAGCTGGATTACTTTGTCTCATTTCTGCATAGTTATAAATAAGAAACACATTGTGTCTCTCTCATAGCCTTGAAAACTGGGATTTAAGTTGAAATTAATAGTGAAGTACAGGAAGTTCTCAATTTATGATCCTAATGGAGCCTGCTGTTCATCTCATTGTTCGCTATTGGTCATTTTTGCCAACGTAATGCTGGTTTTCCGCAAAAACATGAACGGAGGCTGGTTGCCAAGTGCCTAACATGCAGTCACCTGACTGGGGTTAACAGCCATCAGAACTTCAGAACCAGGTTGTAAGCAGCCCTGGAGAGGTCTGTTGTAACTTCGAACAGTCTCTAAGTGATTGGTCATAAGTCAAGGATTATTTGTGTACAGCTACATCTAAATACTCAGAAAAAGAGGAATATAAGTAAACATATTACCTTTGTGATATGAAAGCACACAATCATCTCTGCAATCTTTCTTTGTTCATCAGATCTGTAGCAAGGTGGCTCAGTTTTCTATAAATGTTCTCAAATTTAATTAAATTCGTCCCAATTTATATATCCGCCCACCTCACCAAACAAGTGATTCTGGGGAGATACAACACATTCTTGATTTTTAACATTAAAAATCTCTGAATTATTTGTTTTCATTTTTGGGATGTCTGAAAATAAAACCATAATCTTCAGGGTTCCTACTGAGCTATATGATCACCTAAAAAAAAATCATGATTTCCCAGTGTATTCTTTAGCAAAATAAACTGGTTGCTGTACCACTGTATCTGAGAAAGCTGCAGAACTTGTGTAGCAACACAACCACCTCCCCTTACGCACTTGGATGCAACATTTCAACTGAAATAAGAGGGGGCGGAACTTGTGACACTGGAACAGATGTGTAGTCATTTTGGCAATGTGGCTAAGAATTGATACCTCAGATCCAAATGAAACCATAAAACGGACACCATAGTTGATCATTACTTTAATAAAAAATACCTTAAATAAAATTTTAACAAAATCATAAAAGCTGAAGACATTTTTTTCACAAAGTGAAAGTGGACCAAATTGTCTCTTTTAGTGCAAAATATATAAATCAATTCAGAGAATTATTTTTTCTTAAAGTACGGGTAATCTTCATCTTTGCTGCGTTGTAGTTTTAAAGCCATCTCGATTTCAACTCTACAATAAGGAAAATAAAACATGAAATTAGCCATAATGATAAAAACGGGGGGGGGGGGGAGTTTAGTATAACAGTATTTTTGCATTCTATCACTGCCTGTGTAACTTTTCGAGGATTTTTTGGGTGGAGGCAGAAATGCACAAAGAGCTGCATATGATGAAATAAACCAAGCAGAGGCATATATAAACCTAATCAACTTAAAACCACAGATTCTCGGCAGTGCAACCCACCTACTGTATACTATTTCCAAACTTCTAAAATAGACACAAGGACCTAAACCCTCCAGAGTGTGCAGCATGAACCAAAAAAAATCCAGAAATATGACTCCTACGTGCAGATTTTCTTTTTTGGCATGAAAAAAATTGGCAGAAAAATGATGGCTGCTACTGTAAATCCCCTGACAGCAAAATGATACTTTGGGAAGCATCACAATGACTTATTTTGCTTAAATGCCAAAAACGCTGCACAGATGTTATTTTAAAGATTGTGTTACTATTTTGCAGTGAAATTACGTGTTTGAAGTCGACTTTATGACACTTGGGAAAAGATTAATGCAGTGATCATAGCAGTGTTAATTTTAACAATTTGATACTACTGGAGTCTTGTGCCTTCTTATATTAATATATTTGTTATAACTTTCCAAGTAACAACTTGTCAAACTTCCCAAATCCCCAGGGAATTCTGCTTTCAGTTCATCCCAGTGGGAATTCTTTCTACCAGATACTTAGGTTTGGTTATTCTGATTAAAAATGTAGACTGGAGCGATTTATTTAAAAACATACTCCCATGTTCTGTTCTATCCAGATTTTAGATGAACGGAGGTTAACATCATATACAAGAACAGATGTTCTCATCTCCTCTCTGTTACTGATCCACATTTGGTTGAGGGACGTCTGTTATCCAATGTTTAGCTATATGAGAACAGTACAACACAGTGCAATTAGCAGTATCTACTGATGTTTAGAATTAGCTTATCTCTTACCAATAGCTGGAGTTCAATGCTGCATTCATTGTTATAAAATATTCTTCTATTTCTTTGTTTGGTCTTTGCAAGTTTGCTGTTCTGATAGACAAAGCTCTGCAAATAATAGCAATTCATTATTCAGACTTATTATATTTAATACTATTATTATTTGAGCAATCTCAAATCAATAGATTAAGATTACCAAGACAGGATTAAATTTTAACTCTACTTTAACCAAAGGTTCTTTGTATTCTGGGTGAAACACATATCCTGTAGTAAATAAAAATTATATATTCTTGATGGGTTAAAAAAATACATGAAATAACAGTAATAGAATTACTTTCCTATAAAATGCTGTTTTATTTGTCCTACAAAACAATTACATATGACATATTTTGTTGCACAAATTTAAAACTAAGATAACTTTTCATCAATATAGAAAATATGTGATTAAACCACAGTTCTAAGTAGAATGATTCTGAGCAACTGAATCTATAGGTCTAGGGTTGGGCTTGAAAAAAGATATTCTAAGTATAATTAAAAGAAATCCCCCCCCTAGTTAAATGAAACTTATATCTAATTAGCAATAGCACTTAGACTTATATACTGCATCATAGAGCTTTACAACCCTCTCTAAGCAGTTTACAGAGTCAGCATATTGCCCCCCCAACCATCTGGGTCTTCATTTTACCAACCTCAGAAGGATGGAAGACTGAGTCAACCTTGAGCTGGTCAGGATCGAACTGCTAAATTGCTGGCAGTTGGCAGTCAGCAGAATTAGTCTGCAATACTGCATTCTAACCACTGCACCACCATGGCTCTTTTATCTATTTACCACTGCATTATTATCTTGCAAACTTTAAAACAGATATGTTTAGAAAATCACATTAAACACTTAGCCTATAAAGACATAGCATTTGACATCAACAGGAAAACCCTTTTCATTAATAGATTTTTTAAAAAACAGTTTTAATAAAAATGGCTCAGTTATCTGAAGAATATTAAAAAATGTTATAGGACAATGTTAAACTTTAATTTTTGGGGAAATTATTTAAAGGAATATGAAATGAGAAGAAAATAGTTGTGACAATTGTAACTCATGGTTGTTTTTTTTAAAGCTATAGTTTAGTGGGGAAATTCTTGAAGCTTACCTTTATGACAGTCACTGAAGCATCTATGAAATTCTGAAAACCTAGAATAGATTCTTTCTAATAGATATTCCTATTAGAAAGTGGAATAAGTTTCACAATATATTTGCCACCATATTTAACTGGAAAAAAGAATACTAAACTACTTAGGAATACAGTTGTTTCTAAAAATGTTACTATCAGCATTTGACACAATTACCTCATTTTAAAGAATGAAGGCATTATATAAAGTGCTTTTGGGAGTGCTTACCATTAAATCTTGATCCATTAGGTAGGGTTTATCTGAAGAGCCATCATTTGTTTCTACATCAACAGCAAAGCAAAGGAACAGAACATCCACTGTGGTCTGAAATACTGATAAGAAGTTATGGGCAATGAAATAAGCCAAAACAGCAACCAGCAGCAATGGCAAGGCCCAAACTTTTAATTCCTGGTGGTAGTTAAATGCCATCAAGCCCCCAAAAACGGTGAAACATGCTACGAACACCTATATTAGAATAAAATCAGATATATTTTAAAAGGTAACTCATCCAAAGAAGGTACCAACTGTACGTAAATGCTTAGTATTAATATCAGTATCAGGGTTGCTTGGATAGTGAGATTGGGTGACATATAAATTTAAATAAATAAGTAAATAAATTAGTATTCAGATTATGACTGTTTTCAAAAATCTGCTGGGACAGTTTCACCTAAACCTTCTGTTTTGTCTCAATAAATATTGGTTGACTATTTTCTTCTCTTTTGTTTGGCTTGTCAGTCCTGCCATATGTTGTTTTAAGTTAACTGAAGAAAATATCTTCATTGTTTTAGTTCATTCCATGAATGAATCTGGGTTTCCCATTAAGAAGCATCTGTTGTTTCCATCACTTGAACAATTGGTTATCTTCTTTGAATTCCCCCCCCCCCCCAATTCACAGATTGCCAATGTGATGGAAGCAGCTACACTGTGGTGCAGGAACTACTGTCAGATCCCATTGGATACCACAATGAACATATGTATGTACCAACTGTTGTAGGTCTAATCTAGCTACAAAATATATTATGGTAAGATGAATAAAAAAAAATAAGGGGGGGGGAGTTCTGCCAATAGGATCCAAGACTAACATAACATCCCAATGCACACTATACTTTGACATAATTACCAGCACAAACAATGCTTTTTTGCTTGCTCAGTGATCAGTCCTAAATATGGTCATGGATTATTATATATATCTTCTACTGGCTTCCAGAGAACAATTTAATTTCCATAAAATTTGAATTTAACCTTGAATCTGACTGATGCATCATTTGACTAAACAAGATTTTCAAAAAAGTTAATAAATCTTTACCTTTGAAAGAAAGACAGCAAAGTCACTGAAGCAGTTGATTGCCATGGTGCTAGTTACGTTTTTTGATAAAATAACACTGGCATCTTTAGCCGAGGTACAAAAATTTGTCCCATTTATGATAGTTGCCGCATATGCGTTCTACAATCAGAACGTTAATTGGTAAAATAGCAGAAGTAACAAGGCAGAAAGTAGGAGGTACTAGGCCAAATTTACTTTTATAAATATATTTTATCATACTGTGGAAATGAAATTATTTGCTTAACTTTTAATCTATTGTCAAAACCTATATTTCGTTCAATTAAAAATATTTTTACTAGGAGTTTTATTTTTATTTATTTAGTTTTATTTAGAACTCTGGAGATCGGTAACCTTCATTCCTCAAGAACCATAAGAGAGTTGGGAAATATTAATACAGAAATATAAATCCACATGTCTATAATAAATCATACTAAAATAATACACTGTAAAACACACATACATGAAATCAATTGTAACCCATGAAACTTCTACATAATATTTATGCTGCAGTGCGGGGGGTAATATGACAATGCCTTCCTAGACATAGGATACACACAGCATATCAACAATAAAAAACCCAATCTCTACCATCTAAAATATTGTGCTATTAACTTAGCTCAACTTAAGTATTTTAGTACTTTTAAAATAATACAAGTAATACATTTCAATATGCAGCATTAATATATATTATTCAACAACATTCTTCATGGAAGGAATTTTCTAAAAAGAAACTTGTGGGTTTTTTGTCTTTTTCCTAATACAACTGCCTGTAATTTACTCCCAAGGACTGAGATATTCTTGAACATTATAGGATGGGGCAAAGAGTGAAACAGCAAATCTTTCCCATTTAAACCAATTTTCTTTTCTTTCTAGTTGCCTTCTGCATCCTAGTTCAAGCTCTCACCTTTGGGAGCAGATTCCAGATATGCACAATCTAACGTCAAGAAAAGACAAAAATAATTCCTAGTATACAAATCCTTGAACTCTAAAAAAAGCTATCTAGTAATAGTTACAAATAAAAGTATTTGTAAAATGAAGCAGTAGTCAAGATAAATACTTAAAGTAAGAAACATTGATTCTCCCCAAAATTGACTAAGTTAAGGGCATTTTGTTAAGATTGAAATCTTTCTTTAGTTCATGCATCATAGCTAAATATCTTGATCAAGGGAACATTACAACCAGTAAGCCTTCATTTGTGACAAACCAATAAGCTTCAGATATTGACCGTTTATATTTGGATTTCACTCTGGACTTTTTTGCATTAATATGCATGGGAACCAAAGAAACAGATAAATAAGGAACAGGATTGTTTACATACTTCAAGTTTAGTAGGCAAAGAAAATATTTAAGGAAAAAAATACATCTACACTTCCCAACACAGGCAGAATGTCAAAGGTCTTGGAAAAACTGACCTGATAGCTTCATGAGAAACACTATATGGCACAGGTCCAACCCTTGAAAAATCCTTCTTGTGCAAAAATAATTGCTTCTTTGCATAATAGCCAAATTCTATCTTCCATTCTAAGATTCTAAAAATTATCCCAGTAAAAAGAACAACACCATAGCAACAGAATCTTCTTTTGAAAGAAACCGAAAATAAGCCAGGCATAAAACTACACCCAGATTCCAATCCACAGCCTGCCTGCATTTTTAGAGTGGTTGGCTATCTCCCACTATATAGACAGCTCTCCCAGAGACCTAATCGTGCAGCAAAATGAAAAAGTAATGATCCAAGAGACTGTGACAGATGGAAGCTGTAGAAGGAAGTAGGGTTTTTTTACAGCAGGAAAGGAAGATATTAATGGGATAATAACACAGCCTCTTTCAGATTATGAGCAGGGAACAAAACGGCTTTAGCGTGAAATAGCAGGATTAATTGTCCCTGTACATAAGGTAAATATATACAGCCCAATGGCCAGTTCTTAATTGCATAGTGTGGCTTCTTTTAAGTGTCCTTCCTTGAGTTTGTAGAGATGCCAGAAAGTAGACATATTTGGAGTGTATGACGTTGGACACCGGAAAGAATACCAGTCAGTACAGCTTCCCCAGAGTACTCATAAATTGGTAGATAGAACTGAAGCAATACCGCTAAGAACATAACAACTGTATCTCTAGAACAGAAGTAGGACAAAGTTATGCATGACTTACAAGATAACAAATTTCTGCTCTAACCCCAAGTAGGTAATTATTTTCCTCTTTTATCTTAGCAGGCCTCCGGATACCTTCCGGACATTTAATCATCATTAATATGTAACCTTCCCTTGCTGATGACCAAACTAGGCAATTCCAGGAGCAGATGGAAGGGCTACAAATTAAAGTATCCCCTTTGTGATTCGAATTCCAGAGAGAGTCCCTACTGCTTGGACTCACTAGATTGGGATTTGGAAGGAAACCTGGCAGTGTAAGAAATTACTGTGAACAGTTTTATTAAACAGGATTCAGTTTATGGCAGTCCTGGTGCCTTCTTTGATGTCTTCCGGCTTCAGTACCTGTTCTGCAAATTCTAAATTTTCCAGCAACACAGGAAATTCAGAAAACAAGATTAAATGATCTAACTCACTGGAGTAGGCAATCTTGCAGATATCCACGGTCTCAGCCACAAAGGGATTTATAGGGTAAAACCCAGCACCTTAAATTGTATCCAGAAACCAACTGGTAAAGAATGCTGGATCTGCAAACTAGGTGTTTATATGCTCCCAATGGCAGCAGCCAGGAAGCATGCAGGCCACTACATGTTGGACCAACTATGGGTTCCAAGCAGTTTTTAAAGGCAGACTCAAACAGCGCACTTTACTGTGGTCAAATTAGGTGGTTACTGTAGCCACATGTGTACATAAAATCCTATGAAGATGGACCTAGAAGTATCCCCAAGCCATGAAATGTCTTCCTTATGGATGGGGAGAACAGCAGGAACCACTTTATAAAAAGCACCACTCCTCTACAGAAACCACCCACTAACTCAGTGGTTCTCAACCTGTGGGTCGGGACCCCATTTGGGGTCGATTGACCATTTCACGGAGGTTGCCAAGCAAGGCTGTCCGCCATTTTTTTTGTCCGCCATTTTTTTTGTCCGCCATTTTTTCCCCCTTTTCCGGCGGGTGCCTTACCTCCCTTGGGCTGGGCCAGCTGGTGGTCGGCCTGCTCCGTCTCTGCCGCTTGCCAGCTACGCCTCGGCCAGCGCAGGGGGAGGAACCACGCATGCGCGGCGCTCCCGGGCAGGGAAAGTCGACTTACGACCGGTTGGGTAGTCCTCGACTTACGACCGGTTTAGTCCTCGACTTACGACCGGTTTAGTCCTCGACTTACGACCGGTTTAGTCCTCGACTTATGACCGGTTGGGGTCGCGGCATTAAAAAGGTTGAGAACCACTGCACTAACTGAACTCCTTATCTGAACTGAGTTTCAATTTATTGCCTTTTATAACACCTATCATATGGCCAGATATTAATTAACATTTCTGCTGCTTCAACTGAAAACACTGCTTTGGAATGAAGGGTTGGGCTTCCCCTTCCATGGATACAGCTTGAAATTCCTTCTCAGCTTGCCTTCATCTTGCAATTGTCATCTCCCCTATTTTCCTTATTGCATTAAAAACAAGGAAATAATGTTTCACCAATGCAAACCCTGCAGATGCTGTTTCCCTGATTTTTAATTTCTTTCCTGCCAGAAAAAGCAACGTGAAAATGTTTCCTGTATATCAAGGAATGGCAAGCAGCAATCTTTAGTCAAAATAAGAGGAAGGCTTGCAGCCAACCAATGTGCCCACTTGTAAAAATCAGGACTCAAGGCATTAATTATGTTATTATATTAATCTGCATTCCACCAAAGTCTAAAATAATTCTGGGGAAACACACACCTGACAAAAATGCATGGAATAATAATATATATTCCCAGGTTTGAACAGCTCAGGGTTTTATAGAAATAATGCCACGAATGACACTGATTCCAGCCAAGAGGTTTCCTTTTAGATTTTTACAGAAACTGATTATATTCTCATTTTGTGGACTATAATTCACTAGGTGCTTATGTCTGGCAGAATGAAATAATCAGATTTAGAGGTATTCTACTTTAGTCACGTTAGTTAAGTCAGTCATTATAAATCAGAGTGGCTATTCTATCCCCCCCATGTATCTCTTGAATACATCTATTGAACTCAATGTGATTTATTTCAGCTAAAATTTATAGCACAGTACTGCATGCTTTCTATAAAATCAGTTGGAATGAAAAGGGTGACGGGTTCTTAAATAAAGATAATCCTTCTTTGCTGGTTGCCACAAAACAGGGATAGTAACTGCCTTGGAAACATTACTCATCAGCATAGCATTTCTTTTTCATGTAACTTTCATTTTTATGCATGTGATAATACCCAATTTATATAATATACCTGGTTTAAATATCCAAGAAATCTTTCTAGGCACCAGAAACTGCAAAAACAGCATTTGTAAATACACTTTGCACACGTGTTCTCCTGGGGAAAAAGCACAAGTTGTAATTAATCATCAAATATGCCAGAATTTAAAATGCAAGGGTTTCACATTCGTCTAATATTTCGCACTTCCCATGCACAGAATAGAAGATTCATATTCATCAATTATATTCATGATTCATGAAATATCTTGGAAAGACTTTGGAATTTTGGAATTAAGGCTCTGGTAATAATAGATGGCATCTTTGGTTTTTATTTTATTTTAGAAACATAAGATTCAATCTTGCAAATACTTATAATACCTAGGATTTTTAAATGTAATTTTCCCTTATTTCAGGACCATTTTCAGTGTCACATTTCTGACATACATACATACATGACTTTTTTTCTCATAGAACGCCCAGATCGGAGTTCCGGCACCTTTTTTGGATGGAACCTTGTAGGGTAGGCAAGGCGGGTTGTATGACGTGTGTGAGTTCCGGCACCTTTTTTTTTTTTTTTATAGAAAAAAAGCACTGCATACATACATTACATTCCTGTCCCATCCATCTCCCTCAAAGAGGGAGTCATCATCCTCTTTATCATTCATCAATGTTAAATTACCCAAACTAGTCATGTGTCTACCTGGCAGTCATACCAAAGAGGCTTCTGTTTTGATTTTTACATTAATAATAAGCTTTGAAGTATAAGATAGGATATTCCCCCTTTTTCAATGAGAAAATTCCTTCTTTTTGCCCTGTTCACTGCCACTGCTTTTCCTGTCTAGAGGTGTTTCTGCAACATTTGCCTCTTTTATTTTATTGCTACTTTCTTCTATCTGGGGAAGTAAGATAAGCAATTCCAGGCAAATAAGTAAGTTTAAATGGAGTAACAAAGTCAGATTTAATAATGGAAACATCACTGACGATGATCAAAAAAGTATAGGCGATAGAATACTAAACAGCAATGTATATGAACAGATAAACAAGTTCACAGTTATGGCTGAAATATATTTAAGGGATCTTTGAAAAGTTCCAGCACTATAGGGAATAATTTTGGCTCTTCTACAAAACATTTCACTCATTTGCTATTGAACCAGAATAAAGGAATATAGTATCTAAAACAGGGCTTTTCAACCAGTGGTACGGGTACCACCTGTGGTACATTGGCACCTGGCAGGTGGTACGCGACCATCCTAGAAAAGTGGTAACGGGGGAAGGGAATGAGCTGAATCGATGGCAGCACCGCACAAGCCTGAGCGAGAGATGGCTGGAGCTGCAGGGCTGTCAGGGCTCAGCGGAAGCGCCAGGATCAGTGCTGCTTTCCAGCTGATCGGCGCTTCTTCGGGGGTGTCAAGGCTCAGTGGAAGTGCCAGGATCAGCGCCAGGCTCCAGCTGGAGCTTGGCGCTGATCCTGGTGCTTCTGCTGAGCTCTGAAGAAGCACCAATCAGCTGGAAAGCGGCACTGATCCTGGCGCTTCTGCTGACCCCAGAAGAAGTGCCGATCAGCTGGAATGTTGCAGCATCTCCAGGGTCTTGTGATTTACATTCAGATGCTTGGCAACTGATTTATATTTATGATGGTCACAGTGTCCCAGGGTCATGTGAAGTGACCAAAATCTGCTGCAACCACCCAGCAGACGGGGGGAATAAAAACCAAACACCCCCCCACCCCACCCCCGCTGCCAATTCTCAACAGAAATGCTCACAACAATAAAAATCTCAGACAGGAGGAAGAGTGCTGCCGGGTGGGCAGGCAGGTGTCTTGCTTGGCTGTGGCTTGGGGGGCACTTTTTTCAGTGCCATTGTAACTTCGAACAGTCACTAAGTGAACTGTTTTAAGTCGAGGACTACCTGTACTTTATCACTTTTTTCTGGGTTTTTTTCTTTTTTGGTCATCAAGTTTTTGACACCTTGCTAGGCGACTCGTAGTACTTGGATACTGCCATCTCCTAAAAGTGGTACAATGGGTGAAAAGGTTGAAAAACCCTGATCTAAAACACCACAGGGAGTCCCTGAGTTAGGACTGTAATGGAGTCTGCCCATTATGGTCGTAAGTAATGATCGTAAAATGGGTCATTCGCATGGTCAACCCGATTTTTACATTATTTGCAGCATTGTTAAGTGAATGCAGGGTTCATAAAACGAAGACTGTGGTTATTAAATAAACAATGGTTTGTTTATGGGTGTGGTTCCGCCGAAAACCAGAACTCCTTGTTTTTGGCAAAAATGTCATAAACATCATCCAGGATGTTAAAAACGGCCATAAATGTTTACATCATCGGGGGGGGAAGACCTCACCATCAGAACTTCAGCTCTGGATGGTAATTCCCCTTTTTTTGGATCCATGATAATTTTGAACGACCGCTAAGCAGCCAGTTATAAATCAAAGACTATCTGTACCACCAAACACGTTTATATGTAACTCACTTTATGAAGTGTTATGAACCCAAAGAAATACTGGCCAAGATCATGCAATGCATTTATTTGGATTCAGGCTAACCAAATCCATGGAAAGCAGCAATTAATAAAAGGTAAACTGCTCATTGCCCGACCCACTTCTTCCTGGCTGGAATCTGAATAAAAACTTCATGAGCTCCATCCAGCAACTGTCCCCACTTAGGTTTTTCAAAACCTTAAGAAAGAGATGCAGAGTGCCCTAATTATGGCCAAAATTACCAAGAAGGGAAAGTAAATGTCTAATCTTTCCTTTACTCTTTTTTTTTCCAATTTAAAATTCCATCATATGCACTTATGGAAAATTTCAGTATGATAAAGGGGAAGAAGTGGTTCTGGTTTGTCATGCAAATACTGTACATCCAATAAAACGGTATAATTAGTTTTGAAAATATTATCAAAGCATACTTGTCTTTCCTTGACACCTAAATTATAGCTAAGTACAACACAAATGAGCAAGATTCAAGACTGCACATTTTCCTGCTACTTTCTGGTTAGCTTGATCTATGGCAGTGGTGGCGAACCTATGGCATGGGTGCCAGAGGCGGCACTCAGAGCCCTCTCTGTGGGCACGCGTGCCGTTGCTGGGTTTTATAAAACCTTTTCACTTTACAAAAAAAAGAAGGTTCAATCAATCAGTCAATTTCAACTTCTTGCGGGAAAAAAAAAGATCTTGCAAAGTTGGAATTGATTGATTGAACTTTTTAGTCCCACCCAGTCTGCTGTTACCACCACAGCCACGCCCAGCCAATGGGCCACACCCAGCCAATGGGCCACACCCACCCGGCACCCGACGATGCATAAGTGGGTTTTGGGTTGCAGTTTGGGCACTCGGTCTCTAAAAGGTTCGCTATCACTGATCTATGGGTATAAACTTGATATTGCATATGCATGTTAGCCTTCCATTCCAATATGTGAAGTTCTAAAAATCTTTTTCATTATGTCTCACTAGAACCTTAAGAACTCAAGGGGCATGATAGTTTACACCCCAGGTGTCAAACTCGCCGTGTCATGTGATATGTTGCAAAGTATTGCGACTTTTTTCGCATTGCCGGAGCTGGGGTGGACACGGCCTCCGCATGATGCAAACGGCCCACGGGCCGGCAGTGTGACACCTCTGGTTTATACGAACCAAGTTGAAACATCAATCCACATACCCTCCATTTCTGATGCACTCATAATAGACATTTTAATCTTCCCCTCAAAGGTAGTTAGTCCCTTAGCGTAAGCAAACTTTGTAGTTTGTGCAGTATTTTTTTTCTAGTTATCAGGGATTAGGAGTAAATCATTAGGATATGAATCCTTTTCATAGTAAGCCTGTTACAATGGAATTTATTGCTTTTTAAGCTGTTTCATGCTAAGATCCTTTGAATAGCGCTAAGTAATAAAGTCCAATATAAAATTAAGCAAATAAAGACTGCATTTGCATTTCTTACTCAGATATTAAATGTCTACATTTATTTGCTTGATTGCTATGCTATGGTATTAGAAAATGAAAGTAGGAGCCTACCTTATTTTTCAGAATGTTATAAACAGACAATAGAATAATTCTTGGGACCCTCACGATTGGGATTATCAGGGATCCTTTCACAACTGTTCCCAGATGATAACAAAAAAGAACTGATATGGAACATAGGATTGGATGCCTTGGTAGTTTACTCTTATTTCTACAATGAAAAATAATCAAGCATGAAAAACTGTACAGAAAATGAAATACAAACACAATATAACTATCAGAATCTTCATCCAATAGTGTTTCCAAGTATTTCCAGTACTCCATTTTTTAATGCACCAAGAATGAATTGGGGTTTTATCCTTGCAAACCGCCTGAAATCACTGACAGTGAATTGGATGGCCATATACATTTTGTTAATAAATGAATAAATAAAATATCATTTTTGATCAATTTAAATTTTGTGTAATTTTATTTATTTATTTATTTATTTATTATTCGAATTTATATCCCGCCCTTCTCCTTGCGGACTCAGGGCGGCTGACAATCGATTAAAAGTACCACTAACAATTACAAAATTAAAATTAATTAAAATGAAATATTTAAATTGTCTGATTAAAAATAATTAAAAACCCCTCTAAAAACCCCTCTTAAAAATGCCCTAGGCCAGTCCCGCTTGTTGGAATAGCCATGTCTTGAGGGCGCGGCGGAAGGAAGGGAGATCAGGGATCACCCTGATCTCTGGGGGTAGCTCATTCCAGAGGGTGGGAGCTCCCACAGAGAAGGCCCTCCCCCTTGGGGTCGCCAGCCGGCACTGTCTGGCCGACGGCACCCTGAGGAGACCCACCCTGTGGGA